TATTGAAATCAGCCACAAAGGTATTACAGTACACAACTTTTGTGGAATATTTGTGTGGTTGATTTCCCATTCTGTCACACCATTAATTGTTTGAATGTGGGTTAGGGTTACTAGCTACACTGCGATTAACAGGTTAATCATGCTGTAAGCATAATGCCTACCAGGGTCCGAAGTATCTGCTCCTTTTTTGGTTGCAGGCCCCCCCAAAAATCAGGAAGTTAAGTGGGGATGAAAGAATTGTTAACTATACACAAAGTAGCCCAGTTAATAACATGCAGTCACAAAAGCTTTGTGTTTTCTTGTCCTTTTTTTTTTTAACACTGCATTAGCACTGCCTGTATCTAGACTAGCCAATAAGGACATTTAGGGATGACTGAGAAGTTGTAAATTAAAAATCCATTGCAGGACTATATATAGCTTGCCTATAGACCTTAGTTGGATTTTAAAGCCATATTTTGAGAGAGAAATATCTCAAGAGTGAAGTTTTAATATTATGCTTACATGCCTGATACCTCTAAAAATTCATACGACTTGAGGAACTTTGTTCACCTGAAAGTGCACTCAAGAGCTACTTTTTTCAACCCATGGTGCAAGAATGATGTTGTAACTATGACAGTCCAGAAATTAAGGGAGAGGCAGGGAGTTCTCAGAGTGCTATTTTTTATACCTACATAGGTGGGACAAAGTTAGACAAACTTTTGAATGCAAGACATTCTTCCTCAGGTCTCTGATCAGGGGCAGACAGGCACAGCTTATTGTGTTGATTTTTTTAAAATCTCTCATCCCCCACAACATCAGGAAGAAAATCCTTCCCAAACAGCTAATATAGGAATCAAAAATATGCTTCCCAGTTACCTGTACCTGTTAGAAGCTTCTGACATCATGGGAGAGATATCTGTAAGAAGTCTACTGTATCTGAGCTACATATTACCTACGCTTCAGATACAAGGGTATCTATTACAGGGTAAAAAATAATATGATACTAAAGCCTTTTCCTGCCTTATCCTTGCTACCTAGGTATCAGACTAAGCATCCGTTTGTAGTATAAATTATATTATGAAAGGACTTCAAAAATTCAAGTCCTTAGCTCTAAGTAAGTAAGTATTCAACACTAAGTATTCTCCACAGATGGAACAAGAGGCAAGTTGCTTACAATTTTATATAGACGGTGGGGGGAAAGGGTGGGGGAGAGAAACCAAGGCAAAGCAGGGATTTGTATGCAAGGTTTTGGGGCTGGTCATCTGGTCTCAGCTCTGGAAAACTTGAGTCAGTGGACCCAGTGGTCTAAGTATTTTACAACAGGCCAACTGCTTTAACTACCTTCCCCAATGCCAAATCATTTGAATATGGGCAGTAGCATATGTGCTTCCAACTTGTTTGATGCATGTTTCCCTTCCCACTCCCCTCTCTTCCAGCTCTTCAGCTATCTCTCTCCTTTCATTTGATATTGTACGGTATTTAAAAAAAAGTCTTCAATTCTCACGAAATCATTGAGCCAAATCTCTGAATCAACATGTTTTAAGAGGTTAACTAACTCAGTTTGTTTGTTTTTTGCTCTCCATGCTTGCAAAGCTGTCCTTTTATTGTACAAGTTGGAGTACAAGACCAGAGGGATGATTAGATATGAGACAGGTATTCCATGCTCTTGTCTGCTCAGCCTTGAATGTCATGGAGAAGGCAGAACAAGTTAAGAAAATGTAATTGAAAATTCCCCAAATTAAGAGCCAACATTACCACAGCATGTAGACCGTATAGTCAAACGCCCCTCTTCTGATAAGGGTCACTATCAGAGGCAAAGAGAGGTAGAAAACATTCTGTAGCAGACAAACAATGAACAATTAGCTCATAAGGCAAATTTCTTCCCAACCATGTTAATTCTCTCCTCCACACCTGTTAAAATCTTGACCTTCATTTGACTGCTACCAACTACCGACCAATTGGCTTTTATTCAATAACTAGCCAATTGCCTGTCAAGAATGACCTTCTGGTCTTACCCCCCCCACCTGTCCAGTCCCATCTGCCAGAGTGGGGTGGGGGGGCAAGAGACCAGCACAGCCCACTCTCGCTCCGCACACAAATCCAGACAGCATTTAGCCCCCATACCTCCCTTAGGGGGTGCAAACAGAAGCAGGGAGCTGACCCCTCTCCCCACTCCTGTGCTCCTTTCAGACAATCCACCCACAGCTCCATCCTGCACCTTGCCTCAGCTGGGCAGCAACTGCCCGTCTCAGCCCCACTCCCTCCCTCACCATGGGGGACTTCAATCTGCACCCCCATGCCCTTTTCCTCCCCAAAGGCTGGATGCTGCTCTCCAAGCTACCGGGCTGCATTCCTGGCCACAGGCATGCTGTGGCTGTGTGCACGCACATGGCATTTATCAGTGACATTATGAGCTACACTGGACAAAAAAGCCAACTGCCATTAATGTCAATTTTCCTTTTATTGGTGCCTGTCTGATACAGACTGATATATATTGGTACATCTCTAAAGTCTTATGTACTAAAAACTGCATCTTCATCAGAATTACAGCAACACAAGTTCATGAAAAAGGGACAGAATTTTTTTTTTAAATTGTGAATTTCATAAATTCTCACAGATCCATGATAGGTAAATGGAATCAGCACCCAAGCCTACTTGAGCTCCTCTTCCTGTAATTTTCAAAAGTACTTACTGGTATCTATCAAAACTTCTCCCTAAAATCCACAAACAAGGGAACCCTGGCAGACCTATCATATCCAACCATGGGACACTAACTGAGGAAATATCAGGTTTCATTGAATCAATCCTAAAACCGCTCGTCACCCACCGAGCAAGTTTTGTACAAGACACTACAGACTTTCTACAGTAACTTAAAAACATAGACCACCTTCCCAGCAACGCACTTCCCAGAGACGAGCCTAAGTCCATTTCATCAACCTCCTGGATACTAGAGATCATGGACTAAATATAGACATTGGATTTTTGACACGTTATTGTCTGCCTGGCAACTGACTCCCCAGCCCAGTCTCCAGCTTCTTTACTTTTCATTCCATCCAGGAAGAGCACACACCAACTGCTGAAACTTCCTTAGCCTGACGAAGGGTTTTTGAACCCGAAAGCTTGCTTAATAACTATTCTCCAACTATTTGGGTTGGTCTAATAAAAGATATCAAGGAACCTTGTCTGCCTTTTATCTCATTAGTAATTTGTTATTTTCTGACTCCAAGCACTTCTCTCAACTCTCAAGATGCCCATAAAAATACTAACTGGAAAATCCTTAGAACATCAATTAACGTAAAATAATATTTAAGAAAGCCTCTGGAAATGATTGCCAGCTTAAGTTTTCAACAAACAGTCTCTTTGAAGGCAACTTTAGTTCACACAATCTATTCCCACTTGGCTGTACTTCACTGGTGATTTTTCACAAGGGTGCTATGCACTTCTATGTAAAGGTCGTTGGCAGTGCTAGAACTTAAAAGGACAAATATGCTGATCCTCATTTCCTCCCAAGGGCATACCCTGCAGATATTGCAGTGAGACACGTTGCACTTTTGTTATACCACATTTTTGTGCAGATATGAACTAGTCTTCAGTTGTTTCTCCATAAACTCACTCATGTGGATGGCACAAGAAAGAGCTCTGTAAGATTTCAAATACTTTTATCCTTACCTAGCTGCACTGAGAGCCAGCTCTCTGAAATCTAACAGAGCTGAACTCAGAAAACCAGTCATGTTTTCTTTGCACACTTCCTTCTGCAAAGGTTTTCCAGTCTGTATCATGCAATCAATCATCCCAATCTCCCTTAACATAAAAAGATGCAAGACCAACTCATATCTTCCCATAAAATGTTATAATCCTATGTTGACCTCTTGGGGTCCAACATGTTCTGCACTTTATTGCTTCTATTGGCATACAGCGAATTTGGTCTTTGTGGGGTTTTTTGTTTGTTTTTTTGCTTTTAGCACCTGCTGAAATTCTGCCTAACGCCTAACATTTGTGATGAAGATTTGAGCATTGCTGTGAGAAGCCTGTATGAACTGGTATTTAGTACTTGAACCTCTGAAGCAAAACCTCTTATTCAACATCATTCTCTTCACTGTAGAACTTCCTCATTCTCATTAACAAAGGTGGGTTGGGATGAGAAAGAAAATAACCGTTACTCTTAACCTTTTGGAATTTAATCCCCCTATCATTCTGTCCCTAGTAGTTTCACATCTAAGCACTACATGTTTTTTTGCTAGTTTTAAATAATTAATTTGCCTTATTATTGTGAACTTTTCATACTTCCTCATATGAAAAATCTCTAACTCACATCTAGTTCTTGGAGTTTCTAGTACATGCAAGCTCCTTTTGAAAGTGTCAAGGTATGTCAGGCATAAAACCCCCAAAGAAATGGATATTAGTGAACCTCACCATTACTGCAAGGATCTGTTATTCAGCTTTCTCATGATCAGGCAGGAACAGAGCCCTATTATGTTATGAAGGGAAGTAGCAGGCAAATCTCTCCAGGCGGCCCCGCCCTACCTCAGGGTTCTCTCCAGCAGGTGCCGTCCACACAGGCTGTGCTGTTAATGTACTGTCTGCAGGACGACCCAGATACTCGCAGCCTTCCCACCAGGACTGAGCCGCCCGGGGGTGGGATGCGGGAGCCTGCGCGGGAAGCAGCAAACAGCCCCAGCATCACCGCGCTCGGCTCGACCGCTGCGAAAAGTTTCCCTTGAGGATCAAGACTGAAAGATTGGAGAGAGTGGCCCTCCTGTGAGAAATGTGCCCCCACATGGCTCTGGGGGAAGACATTTAATCTGCTGCAGGGCTGCGGGCGCGGAGGCCGCCACACCCGCGGGAGGCCGAAAAAGGACAGAGGCGGCGCCATGTGGCGCCAGCACGAGTCTCCGCCGACGGCGCCCTGCGGAGACCTGCGACGACCATGATGCTAACGGAGCCGCAACGCAGGCGCGCCCTGCCCGGCCCGCCACGCACCAGAACTCAATCTCTTCACCCAGCCCCTCTCGGTTACTCACCAGCTGGCGGCGTTTACTTCCGGCATCACCCTCGGCGCGACCTAATGACGTATACACGCCCGCCAGAATGAGCGGACGTGGCAATTGTGCCTGGGTCACACGACCTACAGGCGCGGCGCGCATGTGCAGTTGGGGTAGGGCTGCGGCGGTGGCGTGGCGTGGCGTGGGATGTTGTGCGCCTGCGAGGGGCGGCGGGGCAGAGGGAAGTGCTATGGGCCAGAGTTCCCGAGTGCCGCCTGCAGGCGGTATTTTGTCCACCCCGCCTTAGTGTGACACGAGCTGGGTGAGGTGGAACGGATACTCTAGCTGTGGGGCATCGCTGAGTGCTTAACACCAGTCTCGAATGTGAATGTGCGGACAATGCAGATGTTGGGATCTCCAGGAGCCGCCTAAAATTACCATGTAGTAACGCCTTAATTATAGCTAGCTAGGTGTGTCATTTACAATGCCGATGAAATGAGAGGCACAAACTTTGCTTCTTAAAACAACGTTTTTCCCTTGGTTCTTGCCAAATTTTTCATGCATTTTTGTTTAATTCCATTGTCGCCGACAAAACCCCTCACACTACAGCTCCCTTTAATGTGGCTTCTTTGATAGTTCTATAGCAAGAGTTAAGACAAGAGTCAGATGTCTTACCATTACTGCCAGCAGCCACTGATGACCGAGAAACTTGATCCCAAGTGAAAGTGCTTGATGAAAGCCGGTTTCAGCTACTTTGATGCTTTTAGCTGATTAAAATCAGTTTTGACCAACATCCGGTACAAAACTAAAAGTTTTTTTTTTTTCCAACTTGGTTTCTAAGTAACATTTTCATGAACACTGTTAAATAACACAGTCTTCAAGAAATAGGAAAACTTTCTGACAATCATGCTGAATTGATGAAACACTTGTTTGAGTGATGACCTTTTTACATGAAGAGCGGAGGAGACACTGGCAGGGTCCCATTGAAATGATCCAGCTCTATTCACCTGATCTCTAGGTAACCAAAGCCACCCCACTTTTTTTTTTAAGTGCTTCAGTTTCATAACAGTTTATAAAGAATTGTCAGCATGCAGCATATTCTTGTTGGAAGTACTGCTGAATTAGTGCAAAGACGACACTCATGCATAATCCAACATGACTATGTCACTTTAGCCGGTTACCTCACACCTAAAATAAAAAACTAGCAATCAAGACTTGGCACAGTGATATGTTTCATGGGAAATGAAGAAGACAGATGAGTGTTGCCAGTTGCAGTAGGCTGAGCTAGGAGTCTGTGACCTACAGCCCATGAGAGCCATTGGATCTAGCCCAGAGACAAAGGCTTCAGTGATGGGGGACTTTCCTTGCATTGCAGCTGGGTAGCCAGTCTGTGGGAAGAACTCTATGCTATGCTGCAGCTGGGCAGCAGGAGTGGTGGCTGCATCCTAGCACTGACTGCAGATCTGAGCTGGGTCATTCCAGCCCGCTGCCAGAAAAATACTGCAGACTGCTGGTCTAAGTTATGAAAATGTCTTGACTGTCAGTCCTTATTTTGTTTATAATTTCTGTATGTACTAACCACCAAAATTACATTTTATAATAGTGCAGATTTCATAGATTTCATAGACATTAGGGCTGGAAGGAACCTCAGAAGATCATCGAGTCCAGCCCCCTGCCCAAAGGGCAGGAAGTCAGCTGGGGTCATAAGATCCCAGCAAGATAAGCATCCAATTTACTCTTGAAGGTGTTCAATGTAGGTGCTGGAGCCACCTCCGATGGCAGGCTATTCCAGACCCTGGGGGCTCGGACAGTAAAGAAATTCTTCCTTATGTCCAGCCTGAAATGGTCTTGCAGTAGTTTATAACCGTTTGACCTCGTCATCCCTTGGGACGGTCTGGTGAACAAACGTTCCCCCAGATACTGGTGGTCACCTCTAATAAACTTATAGGTGGCCATCAGATCACCCCTGAGCCTGCGCTTTTCCAGGCTAAAAAGCCCCATAGCTCTCAGCCTGTCGTCGTAAGGTCTGCTTCCCTGACCTCTGATCATGCGCGTGGCTCTTCTCTGGACTCTCTCAAGCTTCTCCACATCCTTTTTGAATTGTGGGACCCAAAACTGGACGCAGTACTCCAGCTGCAGCCTCACCAAGGCCAAGTACAAGGGGAGAATGACATCCCGGGATTTGCTTGAAAAGCATCTATGGATGCAAGCCAGCGTTTTGGTCACTTTACTAGCCGCAGCATCGCACTACAGGCGCGTGTTCATCTTGTGGTCAATGATGACCCCCAAGTCTCTTTCTTCCATAGTACTAGCCAGCGTAGCACTGCCGAGCCTATAAGGACGCTGCAGGTTTTTCCTCCCAAGGTGGAGAACCTTGCATTTTTCAGCCTTAAACACCATCAGGTTCTTGCCCGCCCATTTGCTGAGCCTGTCCAGGTCAGCCTGAATCACCCTCCTGTCTTCAGGTGTGGATGCTTTGCCCCAAAGTTTGGTGTCATTGGCTAACTTGGCCAGTCCACTTCTGACTCCAATGTCCACATCGTTAATGAAGATGTTGAACAATACAGGTCCAAGGACAGAGCCTTGGGGGACCCCACTGGTCACCATGACGATTGACTTCCGTCAATTACCACCCTCTGGGTCCAACCACGGAGCCAATTTCCCAGCCAGCGGATCGTGGTGGACCCAAGGCCACAGTTGGCCAGTTTCGCCAAGAGGTGATCATGGGATACCAAATCGAAGGCTTTTTTTAAGTCAAAATATATGACATCAATCTCTTCTCCCTTGTCCAGTTGATAGGTCACCTGGTCATACAAGGAAATGACTTGGTCAAGCAAGACCTACCCGCAACAAACCCGTGCTGGCAATCCCTCAGGATGTTGGCGTCGGACAACATCCTGAGGGACACTCCTGAGCTTGTCAGTGTCAGCTTTGCTGAAGTCAAGAACTTCAGTGTTGCTGACTGACTCACCAGCTTTACGGCGGGTGGGGAAGGGGATCAGCTCGTGGCTGCTGTCACCCAGCTTCCCATCAATCACTAGGTCACCGATTAGGTCATCCCCAGTAGCCAGTACCAGGTCGAGCAGCGCTTTACCTCTCGTTGGCTCATAGAGTTCTTGAGTCAGGTAGAGGTCATCCATGCACGATAGGAAGCTTTGCGACCGCTCAGATGTAGCTTCTTTGTTCAAAACTTTCTATTATATTTCTTCTCCATGCATACACACTTATCTATCCTAAACTATTACTTTTTTAGAAGTTTGTATCAGTAACGTATTTAGAAATATGGGTAGTTTCATTGAAAAATTCAGTGTTTTATTAAGACAACATACCACAACTCATGTACATTTTTTCTCACAGGCTTTATTTAGAATTCTAATATGAAAATGTACATGTCATATCTACAGATGAAATCTGTCAGACTGTAAACATTTACAATTCAACTGGCAGAATCTGCATTCATTCAATTTTGTACAGATGACTACCTCATGTGTATATCACAGTTCAACAGTCACATTCGGATCTGAGGCTCTGCAGCCCTAAGCCTGGATATTCATTCACAATAACATGACTTTAAATTATCCCTAAAATAGCCCAAGGGAAGCTTATTTTTGTGTAACCTATAAAGAAAAATGTGGTACACGTATGGGACCTGACAAGTGTCTGGTCATGATCACCTGGTGTTGGATAGTGGAGTATGGCTGTGGATACTTAATCTGGGCAAAAAATAGGGAAGAAGCTCCTAAAGTAAAGGATTGACAGCTTTTTGTGACTCTCCTGCCAAAAAAACAATCTTACAAGGGATAGGAAACAAAGGTCTTCATTGTACTGAGTATACGTGTACCATTTTTCACGTTGAACCACTCATTGAATTGTCATTGATGCTTTCGTTCAGTTTGTTTTTTTAGGGGAGGGGAGGAGTAAATCCCAGAATACAATTCCAGTATCTCTTTATTTCCCTTATTACGTTCCTCCCTGGTGCAATGTATCATCTTTAATACTCCAGAATTAAATAATAGAAACCTCATGTGTTGTACATATGAGTCTCATTGCTACATTAGAACAATGGTGTCTGCTGCAATTGAAACCTGCTAAAAGGAGAAGACCTGTTAATAATACCATATTTACTCGTGTACCACATGCAGCTTTCCCCACACGTCAACCTTCCAATGACCCTTCTGTTCCGTCCTTCCCGAGGGTTACTTAGCATGCGTGTTCTTTTATGTCCTGTCTATGCTAATTTGTTGGCTATATAGCCATTCATAATGTTATTCTATAGCTGTTATCCTATGGGGTTAAAAGGTGTTAGAAATCATTACAATAAGTTACTCCCCAAGTTTGGGTTTACCCAATAAGCAAATCACAACACATCACTTTGAGGTCTGAGATTAGCATGTCCCCACCCAGGTTAATTATACCTCGTGATTAGGTCCGTTAATTTTTTCCTGACTCTAAGTGAAAATTATTAAAATCAGCTAGGTTTGCAGTTTTATTCCTCAGTTCTGCTTTTTAAGGCTTATGCTGTCTCATGACTAATATAAACAGCTATATATATATATATATATATATATATTCTTACGGGTTATACTCCAGACAAACAGGAAACAGTTTCATAAGCTCTATTTCAGATATCTTCAAAAAGCATTTTCTTTTTGTTACAACTTGCTCATTAACCCTTCTGGTTCTGGCCATCACACTACAGCACTTCCATTTCCCTCTGCACTTCAGGCACCTATACATGTGCAGTGAGACTGCTCTGATGCACTGCAAATACAGTACATTGGAGCAGACACATTCGAGTCTGGTGGAGTGTAGTAATTACCGCACTTCAGCAGACTCCAGCGTGACATGTATCAGTGTCCCCACACTGAAAAATGGCAGCAGGGGCACTTTAAAGCTCATCGAATGAGCTTTAGTTAAAGTGCCCCACCCTGTCATTTTTCAGCGCAGGGTCACTGATACATATGACACTCCAGGTGCTTTCATTAGAGTGGCTCTCGGAGCCACTCTAATGAAAGCACCCCCACCCCACTCCCAGAGCATGTGTATAAACGCCCTTAGTTACTATTCTAAGGATGCACAAAACATCCTATGGATCATAAAATAGGGATTTTTTCAAGCTTCAGCCACTAGATGTCAGCACTATGACAAAAAACACTTGAGTATTTTTCTGCTACCTGAGAGGGAGATGCTGCTGTCATCTACCTTGAAACACCCTTGAAGAGGGTTTTTTCCTTTTAAGTTACCCATCATGGGTTCTTGCATATTAACCAAAAAAGCATTGTAAAGTACCGTATTTTCGCACATCTATCGCGTGGGGTATACGCAATTTTACAAAAAAAATGGATGGGTACGGGTTATACGGGGGTGCAGGATATCGGCGGACTTTTTTTCCTCACAGGGGGCTGGGGCTGGGGCAGGCTG